TCCCAGGATACTGAATACAGTTCCCTGTGCTATACAGTAGCACCTTGTTGTTTTATCCATTCTCTATATAATAGCTTGCATCTGCTAATCCCAAACTCCCAATACATCCATCCCCCAACCCCTTCTTCCCCTTGGCAACCACAAGTCTGTTCTGATGTCTGGGTGTCTGTTTCATAGATAAGTTCATTTGTGTCATATTTTAGATTCCACATATAAGTGATATCATACGGTATTTGTCTTTCTCTTTCTGACTTACTTCACTAAGTATGATAATGTCTAGTTGCATCCATGTGACTGCAAATGACATTATTTCATTTTTTTTTATGGCTGAGTAATATCATTGTTTATATGTACCTCAAAGTGCTACTCTTAAACGTTATTCCATGTTCTCTCCCCACCCTTCTTCTAAGTGCAGTTGCTTCTCCTTATTTGTGGTAGTTGTTTTATAAAGTCACCACAAACACTGAATTAGCAAATAGTAAATCATTGCTCTTAGAGGAAATATAGCGTTAAGTTCCTGCAAGCCTCTGGTCACAACATCTTCTTCAATAAATCAATATATAACCTTGTTTTATGTGTGTTTCTGTTCAGACTCCTTTTTTAATATACAGTTGATTTGTTAACATTAGAATAATAGCCAATATCATTATACCTCAGGCCAGAATGAAGTTTATCTACACACATATTTTCTCTGTAAGGCAGCTCACAGCCTTCTTGTGTTCAGGAACATTAGATGGCACTTCAGCACTATGATTTGGTCCATTTTGAATAGCAAAATCAGCAACATAAAGCACAAAAGTGCAAAAAAAGTGGTACTAAATAGACCATGGAAAGGATACAGTGTGAGAAATGATACAGGATAGGAGAGCATCACCTTGTTTGACCTCAGCTGGGAATGTGCACATCAGGCAGCTCAAATTTTTCACACATGTTTGTGAATGACTGTGAAAGCACTGGGTGTGCTGATTTTGGTGTAACAAACACATTTTAATGTGTATGTGAATTCACAAATACAGAATTAGCAAGTAGTAAGGATCAGCTGACTGTAAATGCTTCTTAACCACTTCAGGTTTACAGATTTCTTTAAGAATTTGATAAAAGTTTCTAACCAGAAAAATGCACTGTTCACATATACACACAAATCTTACATGAAATTCACTTGTGAATTCCAAAGAACCCCAGGTTAAAACTCCTGTCCTCATGCATTTTGTCTGATTCATCTTCATGGAATTTCTTTGAAGTTGGTAGGGATAGAACATAGAATGATGAGCTCATTTGCCCAGGTTACATCATTGGCAGCAATTACATAATTGCCCAGGATTACATAAATAGCATCCCCAGGCAGCCAGAGAGACTGTTACTGAACCAAATTGGTCTGCTCACCCAACACACAGCAAAGCCAATCTACTGACATCAGGTTGTGGTGAAGGAAAATACAGTGTTTATTACAGGGCACCAAGTGAAGAATACAGGTAGCTAATGCCCAAAAAACCCGAACTCCCTGTTGACTTTTAGGGATAGGTTTTTAAAGACAAAGTGAGGGGAGTGACATTTGTGGGGAACGTAATCAGCTCATGCACAATTTTCTGATTATTGGGTGGTGAGGTAACCAGGTGAGACCACAGGGGTTAACATTATCAATCTTCAGGCTCCAGCTCATCTGGGGCGGGTATATGTGCTCAGGGTCACGATTCTTCATCTGGTTAGGATATGGTTTCTGCAAAACAACTGAGGAATGTGTATTAGACTTTACCTTTACCTGAGACAGAACTGGGAGTGCTTGGGAGATGACTTGTTTAAGCTACGGTTATTTCCCTGCCTGACTGTGCTATCTTTGTCTCTGTACTACTTACCTGCACCAGGAAGGCCTCCACATAGGCCTCCTCTGTTTCAAGACCACTCCTGGAAATTGAAGTGCTGTTTTCAGGGAGCTTGCCTTTAGTATGAGGTGGTCTCTTAAACATCTCTACTTTGGCACTCATCATCACCACTCTTGTGTGCCGTTGTCCCACCCTTGCAAGTGGACAACTGCATAAGTTTTAAAGTGGCCTGATATCCAACTTTTATGTCAGATTCGGTCTTTTCAATTCTGTAATCTGTAAGAACTGCACACCCAACACAGGCTTTAGCAAATAATCACTCTCTGAACTTTCTTATGTTTCTGCTGATGGAGGGTGGGGTGGTACAGAGGAGACTAACAAAAAAAAAATGTACTCTAATTTGGAGGTCCATTTTATCTTTTTTACTTGTTGTGGGTTTTTTTGTTTGTTTGCATTTGTTTGCAGTCCCTTTTAAAAGCTGGTTTCCTTTCCTAATTTTTTCTTGCCCATGTGAATAGTTTGATGGATTTCTATTCCCTGGAAATAAACCATGCCAGTGGAACCAAGTCATCTCATCCCTAAAATAAGGGACTAAGTTTAGAGTTTCCAGTGTCTCTTTTGTTCTAACATCCCATGGTTGTCTGATTCTATCTCAGAAGGGTTCTGGAAGGCAGAAAGAGGCCAACCAACCAGGATTCAACATGTTCTTCAGAATGTTTGCACTTTAGCAATGAAATATGAAAAAATTCTCAATCTCTTACCAAGTTTCACAAGAACAGTGAGAGAATTAATTTCCAAAAATGTTGTAGAAAAGTAGAGATTTAAGAAATGAAATACTAAGGTTTTATATAATGATGCATATTTCATGCAAAAAATGAAATATTTTGAAACAAAATATCCATGTGAATGACTTTCTAAGAGCAAAATAAAAAATAACCTCTTCGCCGGAATCAGAACTTTTGGGGGGCGTCACTACAGCAGACACACATTGCTGCACTGAATATATTTTGGAGATGACAGTGTTATAAGCATCTTGAGAGATAACAAGTGTGACTTTTTAAAAACAGTAGCAATATCAATGAGTACAATATACGATCAAGCTTCTTTTCTCTAGAAGTTAATTCTACTGATTAGAAAGGATCATAGAGAATATAATTTTGAATGCTGTCAGGAACAATAGAAGTTTTCTATAAATCCAATTCCTGAAGACAGCATATACTGTACAACTGTGTATTCAGGGAGGGGGGGGAGAATCTCATTCGCTCACATAGTACCAGATATTTTTGTTAATTCTGTGTTCTACGACTTGATTCTATGTCACTTTGTAGCAGTAAACAAATCATACTTAAGAATGGTAAAATCTTAAAAATGGGATAATGAAGTCATCTGGAGCCTTGGCTGAACAGCTTGCAAGATTTCATTAGAGCTGTTTTAGAGATAACCTCCCTCAACCGGCACCATCCCTCTCCTACCAGTGTAAGATAAGGATCTTGACAAAATAGGGAGAAGAGTTTGAGAAGGATAGGTGTTAGCTCTTTGGAAGACCTAAATAGACATTTCTCCAAAGAAGATATACAGATTGCCAACAAACACATGAAAGGATGCTCAACATTACTAATCATTAGAGAAATGCAAATCAAAACTCCAATGAGGTCTCACCTCACACCGGTCAGAATGGCCATCACCAAAAAATCTACAAACAATAAATGCTGGAGAGGGTTTGGAGAAAAGGGAACCCTCTTGCACTGTTGGTGAGAATGTAAATTGATACAGCCACTATGGAGAACAGTATGGAGGTTCCTTAAAAAAGTAAAAATAGAACTACCATATGACCCAGCAATCCCACTACTGGGCATATACCCTGAGAAAACCGTAATTCTCAAAGAGTCATGTACCACATGTTCATTGCAGCTCTACTTACAATAGCCAGAACATGGAAGCAACCCAAGCGTCCATCGACAGATGAATGGATAAAGATGTGGCACATATATACAATGGAATATTACTCAGCCATAAAAAGAAATGAAATTAAGTTATTTGTAGTGAGGTGGATGGACCTAGAGTCTGTCATACAGAGTGAAGTAAATCAGAAAGAGAAAAACAAATACCATATGCTAACACATATATATGGAATCTTAAAAAAGAAGTTCTGATGAACCTAGGGGCAGGACAGGAATAAAGACTCAGACATAAACAGTGGACTTGAGGACATGGGGAGAGGGGGAAGTGTAAGCTGGGACGAAGTGAGAGAGTATCATTGACATATACACACTACCAAATGTAAAATAGATAGCTAGTGGGAAGCAGCTGCATAGCACAGGGAGATCTTGGTGCTTTGTGACCACCTAGAGGGGTGGGATAGGGAGGGTGGGAGGGAGGCACAAGAGGGAGGGTATATGGGGATATATGTATATGTATAGCTGATTCACTTTGTTACACAGCAGAAACTAACACACCCTTGTAAAGCAATTATACTCCAATAAAGATGTTGAAAATAATAATAATAAATAAAATAAAATAAAAATAGGGAGAGAGCCCCTGAGATTACAAGGGTTCTTGTAATGCTGGAGAAAGTCACCAGTTGGCACAGTGTAGAAGTCCCCACACCCACATGATAATGGGATTGTCTGTGGAAACATCGGAAGATCCTAACTGAAACTTTCTCCACTTTGGTTAGTCCAAACAAAGAACACCCTTTCTGTCAGCACATATAAGAGTCTAGACATCCTCAGAAAATATAGTTTATTTAGCTATCACCAAATCTTCCCCTCTACCTGTTTCTTATAACCATTTCTTGACATCCACATGGACCTTCTTAATTCCTCATTCAAGTTGGTAGTACATAACAGATTCAATGATCTATCAGGTTATTATTTAACAAATATATATTGAGTGTCTTCTACTTTCCAGGCACTCTGCTAGGCAGGGATGTAACAGTAAACAAAGCCAGTCCATCTATTATGGAGGTTGATCCAACAAGGGCTGGAAAGGGAGCCAGTAAAACAGAGTCAGGGAGGCACCACAGGAGAAGCACAGCAGGCTGGGCACACAGAAGAACACCTAATTCAGTCTTAGGTGGTCAGTGAAGGAAAAGAATATTAATAAACATCTCTTAAATAGTGTTCATTGTATGCCAGACATCATTCCAAGTGCTTTATACCACTGTTTAATTCATTTAAGGATTCCAATGATGCTAAGTGAAGAGCCAACTTGCAAAGTGAGGAGAGAGGTCACTGGAGCATTCCAGGCAAAAAGAACAGCAGGTGCAAAGGCCCAGAGGTAAGAGAACATGAAAGAGAAATAGATACAGTGGTGCCCCAGAAGCAGCTCATGCCAGCTCACCAGACCTAACTGTTAAGTATTCAGGAATTTTGTAAGCTAGTAACTGTTGGTAGCTCAAAATTAGCCACAACAGAAGTATTTATATTATGGAAGATCGCAAATCAATCAGCATTGTTTTTGTGTTTTGTTTTATGTATTTTTTGAGAACCATTTATCACTGATCCTGAGGTACAGGAAATAATAACCTGAAATTCTTTGTTTGCATGTTTATCTTGGCATCAAATTCTATGCGCAAAGTTATTTGCATTTTTTAATGGAGTTCAAGGTCATTTTGTTGACAGACATGATTACAATGGTGTGCCAACGTCATCTTCAAAAGAGAAAAAAGATGGCATGTTAAAATATCATATGAACGTCATTTACATTTCACTGGCATTTTGACCCAATTTAAACTGAACAACGAGATCCCTACGTTGTATCTCAAATATACATAACATCTTCTATCTCAGTAGCTTAAGCTAATCTAGCCCTCTCAAATTATAAAACCCCTCTTGTTGTCATGATGCATAGATAATAACAATTTTTACATCCAGATTAGATGTAGAGTCTATGCATAAAGCACAATGATCTTAAAACTCTTAGGAAATCATTTAGGGCAAGGAGGAAAATGCCCCCAATTCTCCTCACCATGAAGTAACATTAAAATGCACATCCAAGGCAGATGCAAGCAGCCCTGAGAGGAAGAAGCTTTTGCTGATCAAGAGCAATGTTTTAAGTTTAATTGAGGAAAAAAAACACTGTCTAAAAGTGGCAACATTCAGTAGCAAAGAAATGCTGTGTTTCTCGTGAATATCTCTGTTCACCCATTGCTGAGACCTAGAATATGACGAGGGGGTGTAAGCTTTGCTGCAGGGGAAACCCTGAAACGTAGAAATCATATCGTCAAGCATGACGAATGGCTGGGTCCAGAGCAAGGAGAAGCTTCTACCGAGAAGGGAGATCACTTTTTTCTGCTTTTCTGTGGCTTCCATGCTTTTCCCTGGGTCTGCAGCGAGTTCATACACCAGGTTATTTATGTGTTCATATATTTATTCAGACTTTTAAAAATTGCTGTGCAAATCCTCCACTCAAAGTTTCCAGAAATACATTTATAGATTTTAAAAACAACTCACTGAAAGACAACATTTTTTGGCGGTATAGTTGATTTACAACATCATATAAGTTTTAGGTATACAATATAGTAATTCAGCATTTTTATAGATTATACTTCATTTATAATTATTATAAAATATTGGCTGTATTTCCTGTGCTATACATTATCCTTGTAGTTTATTTATTTTATACATATTAGTTGTACCTCTTAACCCTCTACCCCTATCTTGCCCCTCCCCCTTGCCTCTTATCACTAGTAACCACTAGTGAGTTACTAGTTATAAGTCTGACTTATTTCACTTAGTATAATACCCTCCAGGTCCATCCATATTGTTACAAATGGCAAAATTTCATTCTTTTATATGGCTGAGTAGTATTCCATTGTGTATGTGTGTGTGTGTGTGTGTGTGTGTGTGTGGTGTGTATACCATGTCTTCTTTATCCATTTATCTGTTGATGGACACTTGGGTTGCTTCCATGTCTTGGCTATTGTAAATAGTGCTGCTGGGAACATTGGGGTGTCTATACCTTTTGGAATTAGTGTTTTTGTTTTCTCCAGATATATACCCAAGAGTGGAATTGCTGGATCATATGGTAGGTCTATATTTAGTTGTTTGAGGAACCTCCATACTGTTTTCTAGAGTGACTGTACCAATTTACATTCCCTCCAACAATGTACAAGGGTTCCCTTTTCTTTACCTCCTTGCCAACATTTGTTATTTGTGGTCTTTTTGATGATGGCCATTCTGACAGGTGTGAGGTGATATCATCATTTTGATTTGCATTTCTCTGATGATTAGTGATGTTCAGTATCTTTTCACGTGGCTGTTGGCCATCTGTATGCTGAAAGACAACTTTTGTCTTGTCTACCATCTTTACCATTCAGAGCTCACTTTTTTTTTTACAGGATCATTCTGGGTAGTCTTCCTGATGCCATCACAGCCTCTGCCTGAACCCCAACAGGAAGGTCCAAAGCAGCAGATGCAAACCCAGACGGGGCAAACTGGTGGATTACTCTGTGTCCAGAAAAATGGAGCTCAAGGCCACGAACAGATACACCATCCCAGGGAACCTGGCTGTCTTCCTCTATCTGACCATGGGGCTGCTGGCTATTGGCTGGTTCTTCACTCGCTGGTACTTTGTTTATGAAGCCACCTTCACCAAGCACACTCATGATATGTACAAAAAGCTTCTCATCTCCTTGGTGGCCTTGCTATCCATTGACTTTGGAGTTCTCTTCCTGCTACTCTGGGTTGGCATCTACGTATGAGCTCCTAAGGGATCCAACCAGGTGGATTCGTTGAATCTTGGTTTTTGTAAATTAATTTTTTTTAACTGTTGCTGGAAGTGTCCCACCTGCTGCTCAGAGTAAAGGGAGATGTGGAAAGAGAGAGAAAGAAAGAAAGGAAGGAAGGAAGGAAGGAAGGAAGGAAGGAAGGAAGGAAGAAAGAAAAGAAGAAGAAGAAGGAGAAGAAAGAAAGAAAGAAAGAGAGAAAGAGAGAGAGAAAGAAAGAAGAAAGAAAGAGGAGGAAGGGAGGGAGGGAAGGAGGAAAGAAGGAAGGAAGGAATTAGGAAGGAAAGAAAGAAATCCTGAATAGGAACTTCAGAATAAGTTTGATGCTGGTAAGCTGCCCAGCATTGCCCCTGACCTTCACAACTAGGACCACATCATCCTCATAGCATTTACTCAGGGCCACAGCTGCAAAGTTATGGAAACCTGCAAAGCAAGCCCATCATCAGGCAATAAAAATCATAATAGCACTTACAATGTGCCAGACACTGTTGGTTTAGTCATTAAAAAAAAACGAAAAAGCAAAACTACCTTTTGTGGTAATGCTATTATTATCCCCCATTAGAATTCTCTAAAAAGGCCCCCCAAATACCCATAAGTAATACATGGATCAGAGTTTATCCAAAATAAATATCATAAGCTTCCGGCTAGCCCTACTCTGCACTCCATTAAATATGGCTTTGCCTGTGCTGATGACGCTAGTTGTTAGTTAATTCTAAGGGAAGGAAACCGAGTCAGTGTTTAGGGTATGAACTGACAGATGGGTTAGCAATTCAAATCTTTCTCAAGTCAGGGGTTTTTATTTTATCTCCACAGCCACAGCCTAGGTACAGCACCCCACCTCTCAGTCCCCCATTTCTAGAGCTCTTCTGTGGCTTAATTTTGAATGACTTGTCTTGGGTCATCTGTCTTGAGTAGTATTTGTATAGTATCAGCATCTACCAGCAGGTGTCTCTAGGTCGCTGAAGGAGCTTGATTAGATTTTGGAGAAGGAAAGAATAAAAAGGGTATTTGGGACACAACGAGGCATGAAGCAAATACTGAGTGATGCCCTACTCCAGGACCAACCCCAAACCTCCAGGTGGCAATTATAAGTGAGTGAGTGAGTGAGTGTGTGTGTGTGTGTGTGTGTGTGTGTGTGTACACACACATCCACCCTTCCCCTTCAATGCACATATAAGGAAAAAATATAACTTGGAACATTAGGAAACATTTAGAGCAGCCATAGAACAAATTGCAGAAATATGGATAGATGCAATACAAGTCATCTTAAAGCCTTCGAATGCCCTGCTTTTGTCTGATGTCTGTAGAAATTTTCATTTATAAACAAGAGAGTCTTTGAATGAGTATGTTAGGCTAAATCCCGCTTTCTCTGATCTTCTTGGCATGGACAGCTAAAGATAGATAGACTCCAAAATTAGTTAAAAATCAGGGACTGTGCCTTGGCTACACTGGGTGTGCACTGTACAGATTTGGTAGGACAGAGATCATTCTGTGAGCGTCCAGTTTCTGGAAACTCAGAGTAAAGACCCTGGAGATGAAGCAGGTTCTGGACTCTACATCTGGATTTCCAAAGACTCACAACCACTTTTAAAAATCTATGATTGATATCTGAATGATACCAATCACCCAAAGAATAGTGTTAGGACAGGATGAAGTCACCTTACAATACTTGAACATAGAGGATCCATATCCTACAAGAGCCAGTGTGTGAAATGGAGTCTTCCCAAATGAGTGGGGTAGTCACCAGTTCCCACCAAAGAGAGAGTGGGGTGGTTGAAAGAAGGGCCTTGAGTGGCTCACTCATGGTCACTCTTAACTAGATAACACAGATAATTTGATTAAAACACTAGCTTTTCCGACCAATACTTAACAATGATGGCTATGAACAGATACTATTTTAGTGTTGCATGGTAGTTAGCAATGTACAGTCAGAACCAGAAGAACTCGGTTGAATTGCAGATGGCTCATTTGGTAAAGCACAAATGACAAGAAGGTGGGTCTTAGAAGACAACTGAATGGACGTGTTTCTAAGGAAATTCACTGGTACATCCATCAGGAAGGCTTCACACCGAACTTCAGGTGGAGGGAAAGAAAGCTGGACAAGCAGGTACAGTGGAGGAGGTGATGTGACAGAGGTCAAGGGCCAAACAATTGCCCCAGGTTTCTGAACAGAGACAGTGTAGTGTAAAGGCTCACCTTATAGGATCCAGCACCAGATTGCCTGGGTTCAAATATTTGCTTTACTTATTATTGATACCTGTGTGCCTTTGGGCAAGTTTTATATACTATGTGCTTCATACACTACGTGACTCATCTATAAAATGGGGACAATAATAGTACCTAGTTCACAGGGTTAAATATGTTAATAGTGTATTAAGCTTTTAGAACAGTACTCGGCTTATATCAAGAACTCAATATGCGCTAAGCTGTTGTTAGTGATCTTATGTAAAGGATGACGAACCACTGTTGGTGAGCTTTTAAGAAATCACGGGAGCATAAGCTGTGCCAGAGGCAGCAAATATCACAAATATTTTTCAGTAATAAAAGATAGAGTTTGGGAGATTTAACAGATCAATGAAAAATTAATCAACAATCTAAAAAACAAATGGAAAATTTTATTCACATCAACCTGGGGATTATAACCAAGGAGAAAATCTTTCAGAAAGCTCTGAGGACTGTTCCATAGACGTAAAGGGGGAGGCCAGTATATATGTGATTTCAGAGAAGGGGTATGTACGATCAAGCACACATCTTGGTAGAAGGTTACTGCTGTTCGCAAGGAACAGATATCTTCTTTAAAGGTTTTAGTGCTTTTCTAAGTATGGGAAGATGCAAGAAACTGGGTTCATAAAATTTTCTCCTGAATATATCTATGTGAGGCCCAGTTCTTCTGTTTTTCCCAGAACACAAATTACCTCATCCTGATCTTTGCTCTGAATTCTTTCAGGGTGTACTGTAGGTCAGTGACTGCAGTGGCTAATGACTTGATTCTTATAGAACTGGATGGTGGGCAATAGTCTTTATTTTACAGTTTCTTCCTTTTCGGTCTTAATTTCAATCAAGGTTTGGGAAACATTTTATGACAGGTTTGTCCCACGGTGCTAAGAATGCTTATTCCCAGGTCAGGCGAGGATTTCATTGATAGGTCATTCAATGTACTGTTACTGGACTCGGCTCTATTAACAGTAACTAAAAGCCCCTGGACAGCCTGTTTTCCTAGCCTGTTTTGGTCCAGGAAATGTTTCCCTCTTGTTGCTTCTTCCCATAACTAGAGGTACACTGTTAAAATCATTGCTCTTATAGAACTTTGTATTTGGTCAATCGTTTCAAGTCCTCTAGTCATTATTGTTTTTATCGGTGGTTCAGTCACACAGCTGATAATGCAAGGAGCAATAATCTTGCAAAATAGGCAGAATACAAGTAATATAGCTAGTGACATCAATAAGGTCATAAGTAAGTATTTAAGCTAAGACCACCCAAAAGATGTGGCCCCGTGTCTCCCCAGGTCGTCTGACCCATCTGTTCTGCACCAATCACTATCTTTAAGGGAAGTGAGATGTTGGCATTGTACATAAAGTTCACCAAAGAGTCTGCACGCACAAGGTGAGCGGTGGGTCATCATGACCCCTTACAGGATTGAGAAAGGAATGTTATCTTCTAAGGAGTTACATGGCTGGAGAAAGGAGAAAATTGATCTTTGTGGCAGAGCAGGTATTTCTGCCACTGGGGAAGTCCGGTTAATGAATAATGCAGATGAACAATGCACACTGTAGGGAAGAGAGGAGGCCCAAATGGGCCGAGAAGAAATTTTCTGTTTAGATTTCTCTTGTCTTATTTTAAAATATGAATTTTATTTCATCAAGCACAACATCCATCCCTCACAAAAAATCTGGGGTAGATTTTGAAGCTGATGGTTTCAGAGCATTTCAGAGTTAATCACTCAAACCCAGCAAGGGTCCACTGGCTGCAGTTGGTCTGAACAGCTCTATAGCTGTCCCCTCTCCCTAGTTCTTCGTAAAATTTTTCAAACAATAATCTTCTCCCAACGTTGCAACCTCAATACCTCCAAAATTCAAAGCACAGCATAACTTATCCTCATAAAGATGTAGTGTCCTTTGGAATAGAGCACGATTTTGAAGAGTTAGCTAGAAAACATATTTTGTCCACTCGGCTTTGAACTCTCATTTAAAAACCATTTCAAAGCTAAACAAACTATTAGTTTCCCTGTTAGTCTATACTTTTTTGAAAAGGTGCCTAATTAGGATTTATCCACTGTGGCCACGTGTAGCAGTCGATCATCAGCCTTGACAAGATCGTAGGTCATGGAGAAGAGCAAACTTGTTTCCATGTTGTTAAGTTCACCACCATGTAGCTTAACTTTCAAAGCTTTGAATGCGTCCCAAATTCCTGCTAGTAGCTGTGCACTCGGCTGTCAATGCCTCCACATCTGTAGAATTCTGTTAATTTATCTCATCATGGTCCATTACAAGAATCCCTGATCAAGTGATATAACCCTAATCTAGTTTTACCTATATTGAATCTTATCCCCAAATTGCTTCTAAATATTATCTAAGGTCTCCCAGGTAGATCTGTGAGTGAGAAGTACCAATTCTAGGTAATTATGTACAACATCTTTATGGATTCCACGGTGGTTATTTTCATCTAAATGTTGTAAGGTTTCCACCATCTATTTTTTTAAATGAAGAAAAGTAATTTAATTGCTTTATTGCTCTGGTATCACATGATAACTTTCCATCATCAAAGTAATCACTCAAAGATCTTATGTATCCCAAACTTGTACAGTATTTCAGTATATTTATTAGTTACATTGGCATCTGGCCAAGTTCTGTATGGACAGAAATCTGAAGGCTAGGCCTCCTACCCTGTTTATGGAAATCAGATGTGATTGGTCCATCAATTATTTCCATCAGATTAAGTGATTTCCTGGCAGGAAAAGAGGGTCAAAGAGAATAAGGTCGGGGCTTCCCTGGTGGCGCAGTGGTTGCGAGTCCGCCTGCCGATGCAGGGGACACGTGTTCATGCCCCGGTCCGGGAGGATCCCGCGTGCCACGGA